GAAGTTCTTTGATAAGAAGAGAGATTTGGAGACATTTCAAGATGGCGATCAAATCGCAGGAGTGGATGACACGGAACAAGGTTACTTAGAGGAAGCCTTTGATCAGGACTATGAACCTGAAGATGAACATGAACATAATTTCAACCTACGTGGACAATTCGATGATATCGATGACTCTGAAAGAAATGAGCTCTTATGGCAAACATCATATCAGCTTGAGATAGTGCAAGCAATCCAAGCAAGGTCCATCTTGAGCGCGGTTTGTGTTTGTAGCTGCGTCAACGGATAGCAAGGGAGCGTTTGAATTTACCGGTGCACTTATGCACGGGAACCCTTATGCAGGACAAGCACATCGAAGTCGGTTCGATCAATGCTTGAGCCAAGTGAACTGGGAATAACAAGGCCGCTTGATAGGTCAAAGGGGACACGTACATATGCGGGCCTCTTGCTGGAAAGACGGTTTCCAACAATATAGATATGAAGCGTCGAAGGGGAGACACCAAGCGCTTCAGGCAAATAGAGGATGTCATCATATGATGATGGATAGCCACGGAAGTACACAGAAGAGGAGAAATTGTATAAAATCACTGATGTTGACTAAGTAATTAACGCAATTAATCCAAAGCATAAATCCATGGCATGGCAGTCATTCTTGGAGAGAGTTTAAGCAGTCAGCGATGTATGCTTGGATAGTTTCAGCCTTGGGGCTCGTCTCAGCTTCATCATAGCATCGCGTGAGGAGAGACTCAAGATTGTTGGATCCTTCAGAGGACAAATCCGAGACTTGGGCGGTAGGGACAGTAGACTCATCATTGTTGTCGTTTGTCTTGTTCTTCTTGCTATCAAGTGGAATTTTCTTGAACCGGTCGCAAGTGAGGCACTTCTCAGGTTCATGCTGAAACCAGTGCTTGCCGTCTCTGTGGCTATCCGCAATGTGGAAGTAATACTTGGTACCGTTCCACGAATCGCTCAATTGCATTCAAGAGTGTTGGGATTTTGGTGTCGCCTTCCTTGTATGCCGATCTTGATTGGCAGGGAGATTTTATCAATTCGCGGAATGATCCGGCGAACGACGATAATATTACATGGAAATTCAGCGCACAAATGCGATCCGTGAGAGGATCAACATCAGACGGCTTGTGCCGTTCTGTCGAGTCTAATGGGCGATATGCTTGCATCGCCCATTGCGTCAAGAACCACCTCTGAAGTTGAATGGAGGATCAAGTGGATGTAAGGACGCCTTGTGACTTTAGTGTATGATCAATTGACAGGCTCTGATCATAGAAGGGAAGAGTGTAATGACCTTGGAGTGACCTTGGAACTAGATTAGACCCTTTGGAGGTACATACATAGCTTTAGGCCTAACTCCTACGTCACTCCTTTCTGTGGCTTTCTGAGAGACTCTATAACTTTTGTTGTGACCCATTCCTATCTCTTCTTCTAGGCTGGTTCACTATTCGCCGCTTTTGGGCAAGGCACGAGTGTGGGTAAGGAACGGAGGGGTCTTCTTGGAGTCGTCTTTCTCAGGTGCCGTCTTCTGCTTCTTTTCATCTTGGTCGCCTGATCCCTTCTTTGGTATTTTGCGCTGCTTGGCAGCCAAATTAGAAAGCATTGTGACCACAGATTCCTTGAGAGAGAAGGAAGAGGCTTGGTACTTGCCAGTGAATTGGCGCAATTCGTTGAACTTGGCAGTTGCTTCAGACATGAGGATGGTCGGATCTGTAATGGTGCCGTTTGTGTATTGCCGCTTGAGATCGACGACAAAGTCATGGAATTCGCAAGGACGCTTGATCTTCTCGTAGGCCTTAAGAGAGTAAAACAACTTGTAGGGGTTGTTGACAATATGGCCAAATGGACTCTGGGCAGTTCGAACGAACAGCTGATTCAGTTCTTGATTGATGAGCACAATGTTGAAGTTGTACAAAGCGGGGTCGAGGTTGGTCAACGAATCCGTAGTGTCAACTGCAGAGCTCATGGTGTTGATGGTGGTGAACTTGGAGATTGCCTTGAAGAGAAGAGGGCCGTCCCTCTGTGCTGGTAGGTTCCCGGATTGGGAGAAGAAGTTCAAATACAAGTTGCCTGAAACTGAATTCGACAAGCATTCGTAAAGTGCCAGAGAGTTTTGCTTTGCTCTGTCGTTCGGTCTTGCAGCGTAGGCGTTCCTGAGTTCCTGTTCAGTGATGTCGTTAATTTGGGTGAACAGATCTTTTCCACCATGCGTAGTGATCCCACCTGAATTAGCAACCGCGTCCCAAAAATATTTTGCAGCTCGTTGTTGGAGAGCGTTAAGGAAATCCGGGTAGGTCGCGTTGGACCCATCATATTTGTGCAAAAGGGCGGCAGAAGCTTCTTGAAAGGCCGCCAACCCATTGCGTTGGGCCAAGTTGTAGGCAGTACCAGTTTGATGTAGGTCCACGTGGACTCCTCTCTCCAGATTTGATTTGCATAACCTCCATCATTTAGTAGTATACCATTGCGGCTAAAGCGATCTGGAACATTTGATTGCAGGCGGTTTGTGGCACCATTTCCTCGGCCACGACCTCCATTTCTTCCATCACCACCGCGTCCGCCACCACCACGGGTGAAAGCAGCAAGTTGTCCATTGCGGCGCTGGGTGTTGTCGTTACCTGCAGCTAAGACTTGTGTTGTTAGATAATCGATGGCACCTTGGAAATTGGATTGGAGAACGGCATCTCCTGTAATGTGTGATCTTCCATTGGAAAGTGAAGAATCTCCAACAGTTTTCTCGAGAAGTACATCAACCTTATTTGCATCAGAGCATGGATCACCGTTCAACTCGAGGTCGTTGAAGGCTCCAATAAGGCGGCTGATAAAAGTATTCCAAGTGAAGCCTTGAGCTTTACCGTTCCAGTGAAGTGTTGCGAGGACACGGACAGCAGCTTGGCGTTCATTGGTGAAATGTCCCCTTCCACGATATTGTGCAAACAGAGCGAAGTAAGCAGCTCGGCCATTCAAACTTGGAGCAAATTGACGAACATGATTGTAGGCATCAGTTTCATGTGTGACGGCATGGAGCATAATCCAAAATTTCTGGTTGTTGCGACGGAACACAGCACCAGTGTGGGCAGCACGTCGGACAAGTTCTTCTTCGATGGAGCGAGAGCCGTCGTCGGCTCGGAGGAATCCAGGGTCACCAGCAGCTGGAAGTTCAGAATTTTCACGGAAAATATAATCAAGTCGAATTCCACGATAACCATAGGCGGTACGAGCCCAACTTTCAATGTTTTCCATCATGATTCGACCATCGCGATTGTTGAACTTTGGGGGATGAGGAGGAAGCGGGTAGGAGTCCCCTTCCATGAGATCTGGGTTTCATCATAGAATTGACCAATGAAAAGGAGATTTGGAATGGTTCCAAGAGCTGGAGTGTGGGTTCTTTGAACCAAAATGAGGAGCTTCTCATATTTGGAGATACGATGAATGGTCATCGATTCGCGAGCGGTGACTCCGATAGTCGCATTTGCATTGTTGGGATCAGGGGCTCTTTGCATAGATTTGATGTCTTCACGAACTTGAGAAGTTGTTCTGTTGGCGAAGGAGTCAACAGAGTCAAGACCTTCAACATCGGTCATGTGTTGCGTGAGGATTGGTCGAATAAGGAGATCGACTTTGCACCAGTTACGAAATTGAATAACAGCAGCCATTGTGATGCAATGATGTGTGGACGATTTTTGATGTTTTTGATGTGTTGTTTGGTTTCAGGTCGAAATAGTGTCGGACTTGAAGTCAGAAATCACTGGAGAGAATCGCCAGAAGGCGAACGTTGGTGATATCTGGTAACTTCAAATAATTTAGCCCTAAATATCGAAGCATGTCATATTGAGAGCTGTATATAAACGTGGCACGGATGGTTGCACGCATGGCACGTCTGCCGTTTAGCCTTCACTAGCGAACAATTTAGTTAACGCTGCGACGTGATTAGCCTTCGGTGCGCATCCGAACGCCGAAATCGTGGCATGAAAAAATCGCGAGATCGATACGACAATGGTGATCCTAACCATGGCTGAATGAGGCGATTTCCTCAAACAGATATTATTCGAAAGCCGTCCCAGGCTCCTCTATCCATTGTGGATTGCTTGGGTCTGATAAACCGTTAAATTGAGTAGCGAGATACAAGAGATTCGGGACGAAAACGAGTACGATGACAAACATGGGGATTTTACAAGATGTGTGCGAATCTCTAGGTTAAACTATCTAAACGTACGAATGACGGACACTCTCTGGTCCAATTAACAAATGAGAGAACAACGGTCATACTGGTTGAATCTAATCAACCACAATAACCCATTATTCTCTCAATTCAATATTTTGGGAACCAAGAAAGATGAGGAAGGACCAACTCCAGGCTCAAGCTCGTCGCCAAAGAGACTAGATACGTATCACATGATTGAAGACATTCAATAATCAACCGTTTTTTTAGTAAGATTCAAAGGCAAAAACAGAGGCTGGGTTCCTTGCTTGATGGCCAAGTTGCCACCATAAGGCCGCGCTTAGACAGTTTAATACTGTATGGTCATAGGGGATGGGTTTATTCTGACAAGAAAACAATCAACAAGGTCTTGGTGCACGGAATTGAGACAATGATTAGATTCCAAAGGTGAAGTGATTACCTACTACTAGCAACTATGGCAGTTGTTATCAGTTTCTTACAGGGGCATGCTAATATAAGTGACACTGAAACGATACAAATTAATCTATAATATAACTAGAAGATTGAAAAAGAAGTTTCTACCAATGGGAGTATACGTCGTTTGTCAATTCAGTTTGGTGGTTGCCACCAATCTCTGCAGCTAGAAGTGATCATAGGGTAGCTGTATCGCTAGCTCGTAATCCAGTGGTAAGGTGAGTCATTAAAACAAGGTGCAACAGTGCTTTACAATATAATACAAAGGCAGAGTGGCAGGGCCGTATCTAGCCTTGACCTACGGTACCAGGTACCGTCCCTCTAATCATCATTTGCAAAGTAATGACAAGTACTAACTTAGCGGAGACAGTCTATTTTTAGTGAATGACCCGCTGCGATTGCTCATCCTTCTCAATCGCTTTGGCCCCCAATCCCCCAGCGCAAGCGCTAGCTTCCTCCAAGGGTGAGGTGGGACTAGGGTACTCTTAATAACTATCTATTCCTAGACCTCAAATTCACTCTGTCAAATACAGAGCAGTCTTTTCAAAAGGAATGAGCTGCAACTGAGCTGCAGCTCATTCACCAACTTCTTTCTCAACCTCTTTGGTACATAGCTTTCCACTGTCCTGCTACTGTACCTTCTTGGAGAATGAAACTGAGATCTTTGGCCATGCATATCTCATGAGTTCACATCCTCCTCCGATAATACCCATACTCCGTATATCAATCTCCTCCGTCACTACCTGCCGGACCTCCACTCCCGTAGCCATTCCATGCATTCCATCAATACAAATATGCTCACCTAACACGTAATTGGAAAGAATCATATAGACAGTTAGATGTTACGGTAGGGGTACACATTGGTAAAATGGACTTTGAGGGGCTGAGGGTCGGGATCTGTGGAAGGGGTAATTGGTATCTGTGGCGAGGGAAAGGTAGGAGGTATCGGTCCAATCGATTAGCATCTGGCCTCCGGTGCGAGGGCACCTAGCCTGCATCCTTGATTGCAAATGTCAATTAGCATCTGACCTCCAGTGCCGAGGCACCTACTCTGCGTCCTTGATTATAGGTTTGAGTGGTTGGATTTAATCTTCCCCTTCTTGGGGGGTGTCCCACGTCTCAGAGACGTCCTTGATGATTTGATTGACATCTTTGGACTTGTCTTTGGTGTGGACACGGAGGATCTTCGTCCGCATCTTGTGAGCTTTCGAAGTAGCATGCTCTGATAAGGGACAAGCTGAAGCCGTGTGACCTTTCTGCAAGATATCGTGGAGTTTCTTGCTGTCACATTTGGGGCAAGCTCGTTCCCGATCGTTCTTAGTGGTGGTGCGTGATTTCCCCCCGCCGCTTTGCGAGCCGCCCTTGGTGTCGGTGGACTCTATTTTCAATTTCCTTGTGGATCTCTGCTACTCGTTCCCACAAGCTCTCAATCACTTTGTTGGCACTGAATCCGTTCGCCGCAGCGTCCCGTAGGTAGGTGTAGTAGCGTAGAAGATGTGCTGTCCTGTTGACACTGTTACACCGAATGAAGAGGAGCTTTTCTGAATGGTGATCCAGGAGAGCCGCAGCAGGACTTCCTTCCCATCGTTGGAAATGCTTGTAGTGCAGTTCCCTCAGCTTACCAAGAAGTTGGTTGTAGTAGTCATAGGTTTTGTACATGAGGCGGACTAGGGCCCCTTGATTGCAGTAGTCATCGCTTTCGTCATCCGGATAGTTGCGCTTGACCATGAAGGCCTCGATGTACAGTGACATGTTGCCAAAGGCGCTGGTCTTGGCCTTGTCCAAACCCCCAACCAATTTCAGCAGACCTTCCCCATTCTTGACTCGCATCAAGGCGTGACGAGATGGTCTCTTCCAATTGGTGTCCAGATGGACTCCCTTTCCACTTTCCTTGCCATTCGTCAACAGTGCCAACAATAGAGAATCCACTAGCAGCTCTGTCTCATATGTGTCCGAATTAATGTTAGTCGTACCTGGTAGAGCAGGGACGTCAACTGCAGCTGCCATCAGCTCAGTGAAGTCCCTGCTGCGTAGTCCCTCCGGCCCCAAGGCCTCCAAAATCTCCTTGCGGGCGATTGACAGTCCATGAATCTTTTTCGGATTTCCTTCTGAGGTATCCTTCCCCAAAAACACGTGCGTGCGTGGGATCACAATCTTCTCGGGACTGTTTCGGGAAGATTTCCTGGACTTTTTCGATCTCTTCTTGATCCGTTTACGCCGTTCAGAGCGTTTAAATGCCGTGCTGTCAGAACATATTATGATCGTCAAAAGGGCCACATGCTCCCAAGGTCCGGCCGTCTCAGCAAGCCTTGATACCTTACAAGGCGTTGCGGGGCTTCCATGCTTCCAAAGAGGGGCCTCATGTCTGTCAGCGATTCCATTCTTGCCACCAAAGGTAAAAAATGAGAAAAGCTGTTGGGCCATTTTATCAGGCTTCTGGAAAGGGATATCCTCCTCAGCATCTTGGAGAACCACCATTGGAGTGGATAGTGCGCTTGTGCTGGAGGCCTTTTCAGTTGCCATGTCACCGTCATCATCAAAATCGAAAACTGTGTTGATGGGACCGCAAGCATCATCAGGAAAACCCAAGAAGGCTGCTGAAAATGGGCAAGATTGGACCATTTTCGCTTGTTCTTGTGGGACAGGATAACTACTGATATAATAGGAATCCCAGTTTGCTTTCTGACTGTGCGGCGTCTTGTTATCCTCATCATCATCAGCAATTTTGTCGCTGTCATCGTCGTCCAACAGACCCAAAAAGGCAGAAGCATCAAATGGGCAGATTTTGTCCACTTTTCCCCGTTCTTTTTGGACAAGGCTTACAGGAGCATGATAGGAATCGTTTTCGGATACCCTTTGTGCCCTGGGGCCCTTGCCTGTCTTTCTTTTGCTCATCTTGGTCCTTTGTTTTCCAGTTGAAAACAACCTCTTTTTTGGCGTCGCTACGGCCGCTCCGTGTAGGAGAAGTACTAGAGGTGCTGTGTTGGAACCCGGATTTGCGTGTGGTTTATAATTGTGTTTATTCGGAATATGCTACACAGACACAGAGATGCTTCTCACCATGGATATCTGTAATTTTGCAGGTCACGCGACAGTGCCTGTTGGTCAAGTGGACCATGTTTGCGGAGGACTCAACTTCGGGAATTGACTCTACTGCTGATCCAGTGTCCGAGATCTCTGTGTTGGAAATTGGTTCTGGCGGACATCAGACTGCTTGTCTTCGTCCAAACCGATTGACAACGTTGTGGCCCATCAAGCCATGATTGCCAACCAGCCGTGCCAGCATGCGACCCATCAAGTCATCATGCATAGGCACTAACCATAGCCATCTCTGATCCGTCTAATAGGAAATAATCATCTCTACAGGAAATAACTATTCTAAAAGACTTGTTATCTACATGGAATGGGCAAAGCAAAAGCCTTGCACGAAAACTCAAATTTCCCAAAGCTTTACTGGATGTTATGCAATCCAGAAAGGCCGGTACAAAACCCACGTACCGAACTCCCGCAGGATTCAGTATGGGATTTTCGTGGCGCTCAGACGTTTGATAGTCCAAGCGCACAATTCCATGTTTTCGGATTCCCTGCAAAACCGACTCATAGGAATCCCCGAATAAACGGACCAAACGGACATTTGTCCGTCTGTCCGATCGGACGTGTCAAACTGCTTCCATCAAGGAGTTTCTAATGAATGGTCTCCAAGAGAGCAATTCCAACACTCTGCCATTTCAATATCCGTGATTGCTTCGTTGTCATCCAAATCCAGGGGTTCCTCGTCGTCTGGCTCAATTGTATTGTTCTCGTCTGGTTGGTGACGGGCTACCGACGTGTAGGTGTCCTTCTGAGATGAGATCTTCTTTCGGATTCGAGAGCTGAATCTGGTAGCCCCTCCATGCGCAGAAGATACACTGGCAGCGGGGGATCGGTTTCCTTTTGGCTTGGCGATCACTGAGAATCCAGTCAAAGTGCTTGGCGATTCCTTGTCCGTACGGTGAACCTCATGGAATGTTCCTGTAGACAACTCTTCACCTGGGTCCCCGGTGGACACGTTGATTTCTTCCTTCTGGACCTTTGGAGGTCTAGGAGAGATCAATCTCTCAAATGATTTCCCTGACAAGCTACTCATTTCATACCATAGTAGATTGTACACTTAAGCCTCGTTTACTTGTCTATGCCTCCCCCTTGCAGAATTAAAAACTACCTAAAGGATCGTTGGCATCAAGGGTTGAGTCAGTCTGCTTGATGTGGGATTTCTCTTTGTTGAGTTTCTGAGTGTATTTGTCTTCGCCAACTTGGCTCTGCCGAGTAATACACTCCTTCAGCAATGAAACATTGAATTTATGATGGTAGCTCCGTGTGGCAATACTTTTCTTCAGCGCTGTATATATTTGCTGTTGTACGGGAAACGGCTCCAGGCGCCCCGGCGCTTTCCCTTTCCCTCTGTCTTGCCGTGCTACGTCGAATTCTTTCTTTCCGTTTTTGTTGCACGCAAGCGCCCCGGCGCTTTCCCTTTCCCTCTGTCTTGCCGTGCTACGTCGAATTCTTTCTTTCCGTTTTTGTTGCACGCAAGCGCCCCGGCGCTTTCCCTTTCCCTCTGTCTTGCCGTGCTACGTCGAATTCTTTCTTTCCGTTTTTGTTGCACGCAAACCTTTTAGGCGGAAAGTTATCGAACCAAAAATGATGCATGCAGCGTGAATTTTTCCACGCTGGACAGTTACTTCCGGGTACCCCCCTTGAGCTGCATCCATTTTGGCTCAAGCTGGACGATTGTCCATGCACGGTGCATTTTGAAATCGAACGATTTTGATTGGCCAATTCTCAATAATGGTTTCGAAGACCTCAACTCACAATTCACATCAAAATAAGAAAAGACTTCATAGCACTTGATCTTCTGCTCTTTTCACTAGTTTATCATGACTAATGCCGTGTCAATTTTCGCACTAGACTCTGATAGCGAGGACGATGATAACCTTCATTACAACATTGGTTTGAACAAACAGAATTACAG